AACTTTTAGATCTGGTCTATCCTTTTACATCACTATTTTAAAACTAATAGAATTGTGGTCACTGGCTCCAAAGTGCTTTCCCACTGACACCTCAGTCATCTGCCCTGCCTTATTTCCCAAGAGTAGGTCAAGTTTTGCCCCGTCTCTAGTAGGTACATCCACATTACTGAATTAGGAATCTTCTTGTACACACTTAACAAATTCTTCTCCATCCAAACCCTTAAAATCTATGGCAGTCCCAGTCAATGTTTGGAAAGTTAAAATCCCCTACCATAACCACCCTATTATTCTTACAGATAACTGGGATCTCCTTACAAATTTGTTTCTCAATTTCCCGTTGGCTATCAGGGCATCTATAGTACAATCCCAATAAGGTGTTCCTCCCTTTCTTATTTTAACAAATGAATAATTTTATTAATTACTAAACATGAGAAGAAATCATAACGTAACACACTTTTGCACAGTGTGGAACAAGAGGTGAATTAAAAAAGATGAAAATAATGAAGATATGTGGATCAATCTGTGAATTTATTTCATGAAGAACACGAAGATGATGTTACAGCCTTTGTTTGATGGCACTGGTAACTGATCTTGGCAGCTGAACAGTTAATTTCAGGATTGTCGGTGTTGTAAAAATTCTGCTCTTCTGATTCCTTTCAGCAGTGACTGAAACCCAGCATTCTGGGTGAGAGAGAGTAACTCCCTTTGTTTTACATGTGGTGCAGAGGTGTTTAAAATGGCTATTCTCCAAGATGTGATAATAACAGCATTCTACTTCACACAGTAGATAACCAGTTGTTTGTGGACACAGCCTAGTGTTGCAATCAGTTTCTAATCCATCTTTTAGTACATTCCTGAAGGCTGAAATAGACAAGTCTGCAGAAGATGGCTTTGTCGAGAAGGTGATAGTCAGTCCCTTGATATTTCTTGTTAAGCCTCTCTCTCTCTCCGTCTGTTTGATGTTTCTCTGAGACTTTACAAGTGCAGCATTCCATGGGCTTCACACAGGGCTTTGTAAAGTATTGACTGAATTTAAATTTGCAGCATGTTTTATTTCTGTAGCAGTCCTTCTGTTAAAAAAAAGTTTGGAATTAAAAGTAGAAGCCATTTATAAATACTTTAGAGTTCTGATGTGTTTTCATAACAATACAAAGGCGAATATTCCCTTAGCATTTTTGATTATTTTTAATACTTGATCACATTTTAATGAACTTTTTTCTCAAGGGATAAAAATACAGTTCAGTGGGCATCATTTGTGTTGTCGTAATGTCAGACACAAGATTAGGCTTTGGCACAATTTACATTCAGCCACTGGCATTTTTCACTGAATGAGGGAAAGAATCAAAGACCTTAATATTTGCCCCTTTAAATGTGTTGGCGTTGTGAAACCACAAGAAGCTAAGTGTTGTTAAGGAGATGGCTGAACGTAAAATCAGGGAATACAGCTGGCCTCAGTCTTGCTGGGGTCCAGGGGTTTGTAAAGTAGTGACTGTTCCATGCCTTGGATCATTACCTCAGAAACTGCATATGTGTAGACATCCACTAGAGACAAGATTGGGTCTGACTTTGGTAGTTTATGCTTTCAGATCGCTCTGTTGACAGCTATTTACTTGGGCCTATTATTAGAAGCAGTGCCTGTTGGGCTATCCCTGAGCATGAGCCAATGGCCTCAAGAAAGCTGAGGAGAAATTTGAAACAAGTTAAAAGCAGTGAGTTAGAGAAATGCTGTGCCTTGCTCTGGATAACAGCTGGAGCTTCAACAGGCGTATTAGTTATTTTTATGATTGTTTGACTGCATGGCAGGTTATAAAATAGGTCAAACAGGCAGCCACAACAGTTCATAGCAGGCTGAACATATATAAATGGGTGTGAGTTGGCTTGATTTAAGTACAGTAGTATTTTGTTTGCACTTAAGAGACAGACAACTGACTTGTAGCATTGGAGAAATTCCAAACCCATTCACATTAAGGAATAAATGCCCCGTAGTAAACAGTGAAGTACAATTGTATTATTTGGTATGTGACAATACAATGGCTTTAAGTGGTGTTTTTTTGCCCTGGGCGTTTTTATGAAGATAGGTTGAGCAGTAGACTCAGAGCTATTAGAGTACTGTAAACAGCTTGTGAAGCCTTGGTTTTTTTTTAAGAGTTGGAGCAACAGAAGGAGCCTGAATGGGTCGGCGAAGCTCCCACAGAAACCAACATTTTTAGTTGGAAGTTTTCAGTAGCAATTGTCTGGGTCTTGAAGCTGGGTTTGGAAGCTGCAGCACATCTGTCCCTGCTACTCTCTCTCCCAGAGTTTTCTCTTGATGTTTTCCTCTTGGACTGGAGAATTGCCTGTGAGACAATCTATTTTACTGAATTTGCCTTTGCCAAGGGTGCATTTATGGGATGTTACTAAATTGGAACAGCTAGTAGTAAAATAATCTATTATTCTGTTAAGATTTCCAATAGAGTTAAATTATTCCAATTTCTTCTTTCCATTGTTTGTATTTTAATTATGGTGTAACAATAAAGTGTGTTTTGCTTCAAATCTGGTGGTTTGACCAATGGAATTGCATCTGGAAAGTGATGCCTGGCATTTCCCTTGAAAATAAGAAAAAGTTAGAGTCTATACTAACTTCTGAATATATTTTGAGGGGGTTTGGTCTGGTCCATGACAGGTACACTTGTTTTACTATAATGTAGGTTTTACAATTACATTTCTGTGGGACAGAATGAAAAGGAGCAATACAGAGGGCTTGGCGTAACCAGTTGTCACATTAAAATCTATAAACCTGTTGATGGGCTCCCATGTTTCAGCTCCCCTGATCCCATGTACAAGATACACTTCCATTGCTACTTTCATATCTCTCTGGTTTTAAATGCACAAAAGGCTAAACAACAAACTAAGAATTGGATTTAAATGGCACATTTAATTTTTTTTCCTTTATTCATTCACGGGATGAGGGTGTCACTGGCTAGGCAGCATTTATTGCCCAACCCTAATTGCCCAGAGGGCAGTTAAGAGTCAACTACATTGCCGTAGGTCTGGAGTCACGTGTAGGCCAGACCAGGTAAGGATGGCAGCTTCCTTCCCTAAAGGTCATTAGTGAAGCAGATGGGGTTTTCCAACAATCAACAATGGATTTATGGCCATCATTAGATTCTTAATACCAGACACTTATTGAATTCAAATTCCATCATCTGCCGTGCTGGATTCAGACCTGGGTCCCCAGAATGTTTGGTCTCTGGATTAACAGTCCAGCGATAATACCACTAGGACATCACCTCCCTTAAGTCTAACAAAATATCCTAAGATGTCCCTCATGCTTATAATTGGATAAAAATTTTCACCAAGCCACATTATGGGTTTTAGAGTCGGTGGCCAAATTCTTGACCAAAGACTAAGGTTTAGTTTGGTTTCTTGAAAGAGTGGGAGAATGCATGATAGAGCCATTGAAAGACTTGGGAAGTGTATTTCAGAGCGTAAGAGCCCAGCCAGTTGACAGTACAGATGCCAATGATACAGCAGTGAAAATTGACAATGCACAAAACAGTTAAGAATTAAAGCAGTGATGAGAGCTCAGTGAGTTACAGGGGATAGTAGTAGGAAGCTGAAGCCATGGGCAGATTTGCAAACAAGACTGCAAGTTTTAATATTGAGGTGTTTCCAAACTGAAAGCAAATGTAGGTCAGCGAGCACTGTAACTAAAGCAAGAACAAAGCACATTAAAACTTTCAAGCATGACCTTCCCTTCACAAGACTACCTCGAACCAATTTGAGTATAGTTCAACTCCAGTGATATGTTGGGAGTGTCGAGAACCAAAATCTATTTCTCAACTTGACACTTTTACATTAGTGAAAGCAAGTCATCCTGATTGAGAAACTGTGCATGCACAAAACCTATTCCGAGGGCTTACTGCAGGAACATTGATCTTCAGTCAGCTGAACTACTCGAAAGAAAAGTGTACAAGTACCTGTATTAAAAGTGTTTCTACAAGCGCTATTTCAAGATAGAAAGGCTTAGCGTGTGATCTTTTACAATAAATTGCTAAAACTGTCAAAAATAGTCAGGGTCTTGATGAAGGGTGTATGTATTTGCAGTGATAAAAATCATTTAGCCGCTGTTGAAAGTATTAACATCGATAAAGATTTTTTCAGATAAAGAAATTAAGAGTTAAAGAATCAAAGCTGGTTAGATGGGTTCAAGTTAGCTATGATTTAAATGAATAACTGAAGGAGCTGAATGATTTTGCCTTGTTCCTGTGAACACTAAATAGCAGCTTTTTATTTACAAACACACATAGATTCCGTTCAACTCATGGCATATTTTGCATATTTCCAGCAAGGTTCTCATGTTCTCAAGTTGCCATAGCAAGGGTGACCTCTTCTGTTCATTGCAATGTGCTGGTAAGGGGCTTAAGGATTGAACCCAGTTTTGTCCATTCTCAAAGCTCAGTTTGCATCTGTCAAGGAGTGTGAATTGTAAATCTAGGCCAATGAACCCTGCTGTGTTTTGGCCTCTCGTTCCCCCTCTTGTGTACACTGTACCTCTCACTCAAATTGTACACCAATCTCCCTGTTTACTTTCATTTCCTAACGTCTTTTCAGGTTTTGCTTTGTTTATCTGGCATTAAGTACCATCATTTGCTTGGTAAGCCTTTGACGTCTGGCTACAGGAGGAGTGCATGGGGTGAGATGTCAAGCTGTTCCCTGCGTTATACATCATTGGATGCAAAGGATGACATTACACTTCTGATCTCCAGTGCATTTCTTTCTGTCTCTTGGAGTCAGTGGTGCGAAATACTCTGGAAGTTTAGACAACGACAGAATTACAGCAGCATTCTTTAACCCAAGAAATATCCGAATAGGCTGAATGTGCCAGGTGAGGAGTTAAGTGAAATAAATTTAGCACATTCTTCCAGATGTACATTGCCCTGTCACTTTTTTTTTAACGCACTGTATTTTGCACTTTGTTGCAGGATAAGCTTCACAATAGGGGCACGCAATGCTGCGGAATGGGCTTTTCTTTAGCTCTTGGAATATCTGCTCTTGCTCTGCAGATTATCCCAAATCTTACAGTCTGCTGGAGGGTGAGGCACCCTTTTCACGGTTTGGTTTAAGGCTGTCATTAAATACAATGATAGCAGTCAACGCACTGGATACTGAAGCCTTGTTATAAAGGGCCATCTGTTTGTTTAATTAGCTTAACAAATGTCCTTCTGGTCATAGGATCATGCAGCATGGAAACAGGTCCTTCGGCCCAACTCGTCTATGCTGACCAGGTTCCCTAAGGTAAACTTGTCCCATTTTCCTGTGTTTGGCCCATATCCTTCTAAACCTTTCCTATCCATGTACCTGTCCAAATGCCTTTTAGTGTCTGTAGTTGCCTCTACCACTTTCTCTGGTAGCTTTTTCCATATGCGTACCATCCTCTCTGTAAAAAAGTTACCTCTCAAGTCCCTTTTAAATCTTCCCCCTCTCATCGTAAGCTTATGCCCTTTAGTCTTGGACTTCCCCTACCCTGGGGAAAAGCTGTCACCCTATCTACGCCCCTTGTGATTTAATAAACCTCTATAAGGTCATCCCTCAGCCTCCTACTCTCCAGGGAAATAAAGTCCCAGCCTATCCAGCGTCTCCTTATAACTCAGACCTTGCAGTCTCTGTAACATCCTTGTAAATCTTTTTTGCACCCTTTCCAGTTCAATAATATCCTTCCTGTAGCACGGCACCCACAAATATATGCAGTACTCCAAATGTAGCCTTACCAGTGTCTTCTACAGGTTCTACTGACCATCAGAGTTTTAGCTTGGACAGGCAAAGTGCTGGATTCTGGCAGTACAGGGAGGTAACAACAGCGATATAGCTACTCATTAGACTAATGATACAACAGGAGAAGGAGCTATACATTCATCCATCATTAAATGGTTGCAAATTCCAAGCTGTTATATTGAATCCACCCCAGCCCATTCATTCAGTCTGCAGGGCAGGAATGTAGGGACAGGAACTGGCAATTCAGTCTCTGAGGCCCCTCTGCCATTTTACTGGATTATTAGTCATCTCTACCTTCACTCCAGTTTCGCACCTTAGCTGCATATGGGGCATAGATAAGGGGAATAGCAAAGATCTAGTTCAAAACTAGAGGACATGGGTTTAAGGTGAGAGGGGAAAGATTTAAAAGGGACCTGAGGGGCAACTTTTTTACGCAGAGGGTGGTGTGTGTGTGGAATGAACTGCCAGAGGAAGCGGTGGATGCTGGTACAATTACAACATTTAAAAGACATTTGGACAGATACATGAATAGGAAAGGTTTAGAGGGATATGGGCCAAACACAGGCAAGTGGGACTAGTTTAGTTCAGGAAACTTGGTCAACATGGATGATTTGGACTGAAGGGTCTGCTTCCGTGCTGTATGTCTTGATGACTCTATGACTCTGTATGTTAATATCCTTACTGATTTAGAACAAAATCTATTGAGTTTAGTTTTGAAAACTCCAGTTGCCCCATTAAACCTAATTTGAACACAAAAGTTCCAGACTTCTGTTATCCTCCGTATGCAAAAATACTCCCTACTTTTTTCACCAAAATGGCCTGACTCTAGTTTTAAGATTATTTCTTCTTGTTGTTGATTTCCCAATCATAGAAAACACACCTCTATCGCTTGTACTCATGTGAACCATTTATCCAAGTGTTAGTTAAATATTTGCAAGGTTTTCTGTGCATTACTCCAACCAAGCCAACCACTTTTTGTTTGAAGAGCTGCTGGATCTCAGACATAAATCTGCCTTTTGTCAGTTTGAACTTCTGCCCTGTTATCATGACTTAGCTTGAAGTCATAATCCCGAATTTAGATTTTCTATTTGGAGCAGCATGGATCTTGCACCTGCTGCTGGGATTGCAGGCTTAAAGATTTATACTTTTGGTTAAGTCCATGAATAGGAAAGTTTTGGAAGGATATAGGCCAGGAGCAGGCAGGTGGGACTAGATTAGTTTGGGATTATGTTCGGCATGGACTGGTTGGACCGAAGAGTCCATTTCTATGCTGTATAACTCTATGACTCTATCATGAGTTGATGCTGTTCAGTTGAACTATTGACAGATTATAAAGGAACGGGAATAATTCTGCATTACCTTCAAGGATAATCCTGATGAAGTGATTTTCTCTGGAAGAAACAAACGCTGGTCAGCAATTGAAAAAATCCATCATTTCTGGAAACAATCTGAAGCTAATTTTAAACCCAGTTCAGCAAAACCAGCTTGGTTAGTACTGGTCCCACTGTTGAACTCACAGGCTCCAGTGTTAACCAATTCCTTCGCAGGACTTTAAAGCTGCGGGACCTCTTGTTAAATGCAATATATTGTTTCCCGTACCATGCTTGTGTCACAGAACCAGATCTTCCCAAACGATGTCCATTATGTTCTTTTAATCAACCGTCTCTCTGCTGGAACGCAAGATGCAGGAGACTCTTCTGATCATAACTCTGTCAATTCCCTTTCTACAATCATCATTACCATCTACAACAAAGCTACCATGAGGATCATAGATTCAATGGGGAATAATGTGGCATGGTGGCTTAGTGGTTAGCACTGCGGCCTTGCAGTGCTTAGGGACTTGGGTTTGATTCTAACCTCAGGCAACAGTCTGAATGGAGTTTGCACATTGTCTGCGTGGGCATCTTCTGGGTGCTCAGTCCAAAGATGTGCGGGTTAGGTGGATTGGCCATGCTAAGTTGCCCATGGGTTAGCTGTGGGAAATGTAGGTTTATGGGGGTTGGGTGGGATGCTCTTTGGAGGGTTGGTGATGGGCTGAATGGTCTGCTTCCCCACTGTAGGGTTTCAATGAAGTTCTATTGAACTGTCAGAAGAGCACAGAATTTAAGTCGCTTGCCAATATGTTGAAATTATGTTCAAGCTGGCGAAAGTTCCAACAGCAGCTTAGTTTTATACAGCTCTGTTAATGTACTAAGGCACCCAAGGTGCATTGTCAAACAGCTTTCAATATCGGGCCAGATAAAGACAGGTGATCGAAAGCTTGGTTTCAGCAGTTGGTTTGAGGAATATGTTAAAGGAAGGCAGAGAGGTTTAGGAACAGAACTTCAGAGTCTGGGAGCTGAAGGCAAGGATGCCAGTCATTGGCTGAGGGAAGTTGAGGATGTTGAGTAGGCTTGAATTGGAAGAATGTAGGACTCTTGAAGAGCTGTAGTGCTGGAGGAATCACAGAGACCAGGTGGGATTTGAACACAAGGATAAGGCGTCAAAATTTAGAATTTGACAATGAGTGTGTTGGTAGCGCTGCTTCATGTCAAGCTCACTAAACAAAAAAAACCAAAGAATTGTGAATACTTGAAACCCAAAACAAAAACAGAAATTGCAGGAGAAATTTGGCAGGTCTGGCATCATCTGTGGAGAGAAAGCAGAGTTAACATTTTGGGTCCAGTGACCCTTCTTCAGAACTCTTCTGAACAGATCCTACCAAGCAGCAGCCCCTCCTTTTATTAGTTAACACTTCAAGAAGGAAATCACAAGTAGTTGTCTTTCTGTGTAGTTGTGCAGACAGAGAGCGCCGCCCCATGTTGTGAATTAAGCCATAGATGCCAAGAACGACCTAGGTTCGGTAGGTATTGTATTCAATGAGTTTGTGATTGGGCCTCAGTGCAATAAAAAACCCTGCAGATTTCTCCCTCCTAGTGGCTAACTGATGGAGAATTGGCAGAGGACAGGGTTAAATTCAAGGTGAAACTGCCTCACTGACAGGCTTATGCCTGATGAGTAGCTACTTAGTGAGGTACTAGGTTTTCATGTTCCTGTTGGAAAGCACACCTGGCTAGGTGTCAGGTGGGAGCAGCGATGAGCATTATTGTGATGCCATCCACAGTGGGATAGCTGACTCAGACCAACAGATGAGGGACAACACAGGGACTCTAGATATTTGTACAATCCCACTGACAGTCGGCGTACCCAGCAGAGGGAGTGGGGCAGGAAATTGAGTCCAGCACGAATTCTTTCGAAAGCACAAGCTTTGCATTTTTGTTTTGAAAATATCTGGCCAAGCAGAAGGATCACAGCCTGTGGCCACTCACCGATACAAATGGCTGTTTACATTTTCTCCAAGAACAGCAGGTGGACCTAAGGCATTTTCACCCTCATCGGACTGTGAAGGGAACTGAGCAGACAGGAAAGTGACGCAAAGCTCCTCTCCTGACTGAGGCAGAGCGGAAAATGTATTCCCCTGAATTGCTGCTTAAACCCACAATCCACTGTAAATCTAGAATGGGCCCATAGTATAGCAGGATGCATTTACTTACATCTCCTCTAGGAGAGGCTAGAGCTAGGAATTTATCTAACAATTAGATTTCTCTCTTTTAAGTTGGAGGTGAGCAGATATTTTCTCTCTGAGTTTGTGGAATTTTCTTCCCCTGAAAATAGTCGGGGCTGGGTCGTCAAAATTATTTGAAGCTGAGTTAGATAGATTTTGATAGGTAAGGGAGTCAAGGGTTATGGGGTGCATGCTAAAGTGGAGTTGAGACCACAAGCAGATCACAGAATATCTTATTGAATGGTGGAACAGGTTCAAAGGGCTGAATGGCCTATTCTTGCTCCAATGTCCTGTGTTTCTACATCTGTTGCAGCCCTGATTTGGTTTGATTTATTATTGTAACATGTAGCAAGATACAGTGAGAAGTATAGTTTTGTGTGCTATCCAGGAAAGCAATACCTTACATAAGTACATCAGTGTACTAGAACACAATGCAGACTATAATGTTACAGCTACAGCGCAGGTGTAGAGAAAGATCAACTTGAATATATAAGAGGTCCGTTCAAAAGTCTATTAACAGTGGGGAAGAAGCTGTTCTTAAATCTGTTATAGAATCATATTGGTATATATTGTTACATGGTTTTAAACTTTTGTATCTTCTGCCTAACAGAACAGGATGGAAGAGGGTATAAGCGAGGTGGGAGGGGTCTTTGATTATGATGGCTGCTTTCCTGATGCAGCTGAAGTATAGACAGAGTCAAAAGATAGAAGGCTGGTTTTCGTAATGGACTGGCCTGTGTTCTCAAAATCATGTCCCAACGTTTTCACTGACGTAAATTTGATTTCATTTTAAACTTGTGTTGCTGTATTTTCTGCTCATTGAGCACTTTATTATTGCTGAGCAATGCTAGGAGCTGCCATTACTCCCGATTTGGATCAGTGGCCATTGTGTGAGGTGTGTGCATCAGTTTTAGTTTGGGAAAGCGTTGCCGACTGCACAAGTCTGATCTTGTCCCATTTCCCTGCCCAGCCAAGTGTGGCTGTTCTGAACGATTTGGTGCTAAATTTTCTGCTATAACTTCATGCGCAATAGGAACTGGACTGAGACAATCCACACTTGTATTGTTATTACTCTGTACAGTCAGGGAGATGAAATGTACAGCAGTCAGTGAGTTTATGGATCAAATGAGCGAATCTGACCATTGAAACAATGTAGCTTTCTTCAGGCTCAGGTGATACCAGGAACATGTATCTGTTCAACCTGACCATGCCCCCAGACTGACCCACCCCCGTAGTCTGACCCCTCAACCC